GCCTAATTGTTGGTGTACAAACTCATGTACATTGACCAAGACAAACTGCTGTCACCCCACATATTCCTGTGGAAACTGTGGCACATCCACTGCAGGGAGAAGACCATAAATCACATCTATAGGGAGTAGAATTTCCCTACCAAACATGATTATATTTGTTGAGTAACCAGTCAATCTCTTATGGTTGCACAGTATGTCGTCATAAGATATGGACTGTATTAAAGTACCAACCAAAAGATAAACTTTGATCCATTTAATGAAGTTATTGATAAATACCAGCAAATACCCATTACAGTTTTTCTGAAAGAGGCTCATTGATATCCAGAGCTATCCTTTGTAGAGGAAAACCAATAGTTCTTTGCTCGAATGTACCCTGTCTAGACTGTTTGTTCCTTTGTTCACTTAACATCATAACGAGAATGTAGCTGGTATAACTGCCAAATCTGAATGTTTTGCTGCCTAAAACTCTAGTGATCAATAGCTGCATTATAGGTTGAAAATCACATCCTGGTTCTTAATATCAATGGTCTAACATGTCTTCCCACAGTTATAATTGCTTGTACCGGTGCCACAAGCTGCTTGCTTCTGCACCACATTTCTCAATCGGTACTAGCCATACTTTGCCTAGCTGAATGATAAGGAGTAACCACACTAGTTCAGAATCTTCCAGATACCGTTCCGAGAGCTTTTAAGGCATTAGATATGTCATTCAGTTACTTGTGGTATCCATTAATTCATACCACAAGCCAGATGCCAAACTCGAACTTTTATTCCTTTACTGTTTTCTCTTAACTTCTCTTTTGTGTTTGCATGAATTCATGTGTGTAAACTACTTCAGAATACATACATTCCATATATATACCTGTGAATACTGTGGTATTTCTGTGAAGGAAGGAGAATCATAGATCAGGTCCATAGGAAATTGTATTTGTCACCTAAACACCAGAAGATTTAGAAAACAACTAGCCAGTTATTGATCAGTTGTGATCAAAAGCATACACTTGATGGTTTGTCCCACCCATTCAGCCTGGAAGATTTAAACACTGGTAGATTTACTTGTTTCACTCCCCCTCCAAAATTAAATGGTGTTGCTGACAGGAACTTGCTACCAATTTCTCAACCTCTGTGTGGCTGAAAGAGAGATCGTGGCGACTCCTCCCTCTCACCATTTTTAACTTTAGCTCTACCAAGGAGTGGGCACCACATGGTCAAAGTGCTCCAAACTTATTTAAAGTAGATATTTGCCCTAAGCAACGTTTACCTGAATATACCTTACCTCAGATATATTCTTACATCTCTGTTCGTTTGTTAATTTCTGGTATAAATTCTTTCTAAGGAACTTCAGCAATACAAGTCCTTTCTTAATTAAAACTAGTTTATTCTTCCTCGATACAACTTTGTAATACACAGAATTTCCAATCAGTATGTTAAACTTAACAACTTTTATAACACACGCTATAAATCACAGTGTTTCACACACTTTACTTATGGTGCCTACTGTTTGCTTGACTCAATTATCTATCTCTTCAATCTGTCTATCTCTGCAATCTATCTGTCTCGCTGGCCTTATTTGCCTGGATTATATACTAAAAAAGAGGGCATCTGGAACAAACTGGAGTTGCCAGGAAAATTCATGATCCTTTGAGAAACTCCAGGACACATGCTCCCAGTGTTGCATGACTTCTGCTGTTGTAACACTGCCCCTTCCTTAGTATTGTTCGTCCTGAACAATAGCCACTTACATTAAACCAATAGATAATTAACAGTAACTTGATTAAATGTACAGAATTTGCAAACACAAAATTAAAATACAACAAATTCTCCTAATTTTACAAGACGTATCTTCTTCCTTACTGGTTTCCATCTCATTGGCTTCTGCTTCACGTGGGGCTCATCTACTCTAGCAGGAAATGTCCCAATATCGGTATCAGTCACATCAGTGGTAGTAACTTC